ACGTGAAATAAAAGAGATGCGCTGCGGTGGATTTGGACATCAGTGGAGGCTTTTTTATTATTTTGTTCCTTGTTTTAGCCTTCTAAAAATGTACTCCTACAGATATTAATATCACTTTGTGTTATTTTAAGAATATGTCACCTGTTAAGACTGTCAAATTGCCTCAATAGAGAGCTGAAGCCAACATGATGTTATTTTTAAGACTAAATGAAAACTGTAGCTTGCTGAGAAAATTCGTAAATGCATATAATAGTGATCTAATGATGAACTCAGCAGGGAGTTCAGGTACCATGGTGGTGTTTTGTCACAAGTTATGGTAGGATGAAGAGACGGATGGATGGACTGATAAAGAGAGGAGGACGTTGTTTTGATCTGTTGTGGTGAAGAAAGAGTTGAGATGAATGGAACCATCTTCACTCATGTTCATGATCTTAACCAAGAGCCAGGACTGAAGCTTTTTCTGTTGGGTGGTCAGGCGCAGCCTCAGAAAGAAAAGAGCTCAATTTTTTGTGAGAAACTCAGAGTGGAGCAGTGTTTCCTTTCCCTTAACATTCCTGTCATTTCAGTCCAAGAGGCTTTAGAAAAAGCATATCCGAATTTGAATAAAAGCTGTTCATGAACTATTTGGAATTGAGGCATGGTTGAGGTATCTTTATAAAGTAAACACTCAGAGGTTTTCCCCACAACTGTGAAAAGGTATGTAAGTGATACTGTCATAGAGTAATATGGGCTTTAATGCCCAGAAAAATATACATTTTTATAGTTTGCATGAGACTTGTTGTGGACTAACTATTCATTTTTTTAAATACATGCTTTAAAAATAACACCAGTGATGAGATATGGACTGGAAAACATTATGTATGGACTGAAGTCTTTCCTTGTCCCACACCAAATTTTACAGTAATAAACCTAAAAATTTGTACTTGGCAGATATGTTTATAAGATAAGGTCCAGGCGTTTCTAACGTGTGCTAAAAGTGTGCCTTTTGGAGACCATTGTGGCACACTTAGGAAAAAAAGTCTGTTATTTTTTGAAAGCTTCAACATAAAATCATAATCTTGGGTTCTAATGGAAGATTACAATTTGGACTGTCCTACCCCACATCCAGATCCACTCTCAGTGTTACTTAAGCCTCTTTTATAAGACAGACCATGACGTCATTACAGAGTGATAAATCCGAATTTGCGGGTCTCGTAAATGCGGCGAGGAGCAAAGGGGAAAGGTGATAAAACTCGATTCTGATGCACTTAGCCTCGTAGTAATATTACCACATGAGCCCCTCGCCTCTGACAGCTAAACGCGTCAGCCGCACTAATCCCTTTGGAGCGACTGTGGGAGGCCCCCCCCCCCGCAAAAGAGAGTGGTCGCGTTAGTGATGTATACTGTGCGCCGAGTGCCGGCCGGAAGGGATATAAACACAGATAAACATGGCCTCTCACTCACTAGTATCTTTCAACCACCTACAACATGGCAAACTGGACGGACGCGGAGACCATGGAGCTTTTGGCCGTGCGAACGGACGAACAAACTAGTCGCCTTTTTATGGGGACGGTGAGAGACAGCCAGCTGTTCGACAGAGTGTTGAAAACACTGGCTGAGCGGGGCGTCAAGCGGGACAAAAAGCAGGTCACATCTAAGCTAAAGGTCCTGAAAAAGAAATTTCATCAGTCTGACGTGTCGTCCGTCTGACGCTGACTGCGCGACCCTGTACGTCACATGTGCGGGGGGGGGGGGGGGGACCTCCCTTCATCTCATCTTGGTTCGAGAGGTGCCTGATGGCAGTTTATTCTAGTTTCAGCTTTGCTACTATAAATGCCAAAATCCTCCCCTGGAGCCACAGCGAATCCCATTTTTCAAACGCTATGGTCCTGTAAAAACAGCTTTTGAAAGAGTAAAGGAGGCACACACTGATGTGTGTAGCGATCACATAGCAATGCGTAACTCTCCAAACTGTTGCTGTGAGAAAGTTCGTTTACGCTCACACTTAGCTTTTGTTTGGTAGACCCGACCCCCACATGTTAAATATTGTTTTTTTCAGAATTGCATTGGCTATTTGATGCTTGACTCACCAACAAACTGCTTCGTGATAGGGTCAAAGCCACAAAAATCCTAATAGTGGGAGGCACTTTATAGTCATCGGCCAATATTAAAAGAGTTTACTTTAGCAGAGAAGGTAAACCATCACCTATTGGATCAAATAAGGCAAGGCAAGGCAGCTTTATTTATAGAAAGCATTTCAAACACGGAGGCAATTCAATGTGAATTACAATTATCAGGGCATGATATGAAATAAGATGTCAATCAAAAGCTTAGCCATCATGTTTGGTTGTGTAAATGCTTGAAGTGAACACGGGGAAGCTAATGGCCTTTATGAACAAAACATGATGAAAATCTGATGTATTTGAAAGAATATTGAGAGACTTTCAGCAGCACATTATGTTGGATTGTGGGCATGAAACTTGTTGTGGACTAACTATTTTATTAGAGTTCTTTAGTTGGATCTTTTTGGATTAAAAAAAAAGATACCTGGATTCTGTAAATCGTATAAAGCATCATGGGTAAGATTAAACAAATTTTGCATTTGCGAGTGGTTTGACAAAGGTGTTTACTGTGTCTACAGCTAATGCTGTGTGCTTGATTAGCATAACTCATTGGAATGTCAAGATTCTTAGCTTTCCAATGATGTATTGATTTTATATGTTTACATAATCACTGTTGCAGTTGTACTCAAGAGTAGAACAGGAAGTTGGTCAAGTCCTGGTGGGAAGGAAGAATGTTAAGGGGTTGGTGTGGAACACTGAACAAAAATTTTTTTAATGATTATTTCTGATTAAAATTGGTCACTCTGAGTTTTTTAAGCAGGCTAAACACCTATTTCCTGCATTAGCTTCTGATAGAAAATAGATGGTGAAACTAAGATCTGAAAGCCTGACAGATCTACGTCACACTGTCACTTACAGTAGCAATGATGGACTCACCTATCTTAACTCATGACAGGGAAGGCTGCTGTTGGTTTAACGTTCAGGAAACAGCAGAGAACATTCCAACTACCAGAAGCTAACCATTAGCATTAGCGACTCTGCCACTCAGCAGAACTCCCCTAGGCTTGTGTCATTTATGGAGGTAAAACATCAGTGTTGCAGAGCAAACTGAGCCCAGTGGTAGAGTTGTGCTGCAATTATCCAATTTGAGGTGAGATGTCAAAATACCAGGAAATGGGATTCCAGAACCTTCCATCTGAAGCTCAGCTGTGATGGGGCAAACTTTAGGTTGATAGGTAGAGACCATTGCAAATGTTTCTCCTCTCCTGGCCCTCGAAGTGAGCAGACACTTTTCTTTTTACTCCTGCCCCTTATCATCCCAAGGCTCTTTGTCCTGTCTTTTCTGAGAGTGAATCTTTGGATTTTTTCTGGAATTACATTTTAAAATGATGGATTTGGTAAAGTAAACTGGTTGCTGATGAAAATTTTACAACAATCAGTACGGAGAAGGAGTTCCTATATTCTTGCATGGAACGTGTCCAGTTGGATACATTGTGGATTCCTTGTAGGGGTTCATCAGTCTTTCCCTTCTTTCTGTTAAGGGCACAAAAGACGTATGGATTTCTAGATTTATCATTTTTGGGTACCTGCTGATTGGAGTAGGAAGTTATCTGAAACTGACTGAGCTGTCGGGGCCTTTTAGGAAAATCCCTGAGCTCTGGGAAGGTTACTGTCGTGTGCTGGGCGCTTAGACTAAGATGTTGCTGCTGGTGAATCGCAAGCTGGATGCTCTGTGTAGCAACCTGGGGATGTTTCCTCAACTCAAACATAGGATGGAATTAAACTCCATTCTTTGGCTGACTGGAAACTCCTTAACTAGACCAAAACGAGGTTACATCAAGATGCCCTTACTTAACGTCAGATCACTAACTACTAAGTATTTTATTGTAAATGACCTAATAACCACTCATTCTCTGGAATTTATGGTTTTGACTGAAACTTGGTTGGATCAGACTGGTGCAGCTGTGCTCAATGAGGCTGCGCCTCATAACTTTAATTTTATTCACACCACCAGATCAGGTGAAAAAGGAGGTGGAATAGCTGTTGTTTTCTCTGACTCTTATAGCTGCAAAAACATTAATTAGGCAAATTCTTATCATTTGAATATCTTGCTATATCTGTTCAATGCAAGAGTCCAGTACTGATAATAACAGTTTATCATCCTCCAAAATCTAAATGTGGGTTTTATGAGGAACCATCTGAACTACTATCAAAGGTTTCCATAGATTTTCAACAGTTACTTATTTTAGGTGATTTTAATATTCATGTGGACGAACAGGAGGCCCCAGCAGCAAGACAACTTTTTAGCATCCTTGATGCCTTCAGTTTAACTCAGCATGTCTGTGGGCCTACTCATAACAAAGGTCACATTTTAGACTTGGTTATATCAAATAACCTTAATGTTACTGCTCCTACAATTACAGATATGGCTATATATGACCATTAACGTTTATTTTTAATGTTTTAGCTTTTCCTCCCAAGCTGCATAACCCTCAGGAAGTCAAACAATGTTTTATTGACAATAACGCAATAGAAAACTTTAAGGAAAGTATAGATGAATTGCCTGAGGCAACAAGGTCACAAACAGATGATCTAGTGATGAATTTTAATTTAAAATTGGAAAACGTAATGGATCAAGTTGCACCTTTTCAAACTAGATGCATAAAAAAACTTAAACCCCCCTGGAGAAAAGGGCTCGGAATCAGAGTCTTAAGGAGGAAATGTCGGCAGGCAGAACGACAGTGGAGGAAAACTAAACTTCTACATCATTATGATAATTATAGAGGCCAACTCTATGAGTACAACAAAGAAAAAAAACTAGTAGAATTGACTTCTTTTCTAAAAGTATATTAACAATAATAAAGTGCTTTTTACTACAGTCAATAAGATTATCAATCCTCCTTCTGGTCTTCCTACTGAGATGTCATCTTTAGCAAAATGTAAGGAATTTGCATCTTCCTTTAATAATAAAGTTTTGAACATTAGGCAGAATATTTCCAGATCCAATAACGACCTCATACAATAGCACTCCAGTACCTCTGTACTATGGCTCACTTTGAGCTTTTAAATGATAAAGCAGTAGATAACTTGATTAAACAACTAAAATCGTCCACTTGCAGCCTGGATCCTATTCCAACAATCTTTTTAAAAAATATTTTCCACTGTGTCAAATCTGATGTTTTGGAAATCATTAAGTTGCCTCTTCAATCAGGATTTTTTTCCTAGTGCGCTAAAAATAGCTGTCATTGAACCCTTGTTAAAAAAGAGTGGCCTTGATCCAACTGCATTCTCCAATTATCGACCGATTTCAAATTTACCGTTTCTTAATAAACTACTTGAGAAAGCAGTTTTTACTCAGACCAGCCATTACCTTATATCAAACAACAGCTTTGATACTTACCAGTCTGGTTTTCGCAGTAACCACGGCACAGAGAAAGCTCTCATTAAGGTTGCTAATGACCTACACATAAACACGGACTCTTGGAAAGTTACTGTCCTTGTACTTCTGGACCTTAGTGCTGCATTTGATACAGTTGACCATGATATTCTGTTAGACAGGATAGAACACTGGGTTGGCTTCTCCAATCCAGTTCTTAGATGGTTCCAAACATACCTTAGAGACAGGCAACTGGTGGTTACTTGTGGTGTACCTCAAGGTTCGATTCTTGGTGAGAATTACTTACAATTAAATCAAGATAAGACAGAAATTCCGGTATTTGGTCCAAACGCACAGAGACAGACAGTTGTAGATCTTCTCGCCTCTCTGTCTCTTTAAAAATGAAGCACGTAACTTGGGTGTATTATTAGATAATGACCTGAATTTTAAATAACACATTTATCACATAACTAAAACAGCTTTCTTTCATTTATGTAACATTTCTAAAATTAAACATTTTCTGTCAAAAACTGACCTTGAAAAGTTAATCCATGCATTCATAACCAGCAGGCTGGATTATTGTAATGGTCTCTCAGTTGGCCTCCCCTATGGAACTAGGATTGGGACAATATTCAGCGTAACTTGTACCAAGTTTTGTAACTGCAAACATGTTTCATCACATGTAACTTTGGATTCGTAACTTGTAACCTTGGATTCGTAACTTGTAACTTTGGATCCGTAACTTGTAACTTTGGATTCGTAACTTGTAATTCTCAATTCGTACTTGTATTCTTGTTTTGTAACAGGAACATTGTATTTTGTACATGTATTTTTGATTTTGTAACAGCAAACATTCATTCAGAAACATGAAACTTTTGTTTTGTAACTAGCAGACTTCCAAATTGAAAAAATCAAAGTACAAGTTTCAAATCAAAACTCACAAAACACACATTTCATTCTACAGGTACAAACCTCACATCCTACAATGTTACGGATCATTTTGTCTCGATTCTAGCGCCAGTGGGAGGAACTTGGGTGGAACCAATGAGAGCACGACTCTTAACTACCAATCACGTTTCTCGAATTCCTGTCCAATCACTGGGAGAGGAGGGCAGGGTTTTGTCAGAGCCGTAAAGAGTTACGACACTCCAAGACTCCTATGGAATGGGGAAGTCACGTGGTTCATGTAGCGTCGAATAGTTCCAAACAGCCCCGCTGCTGCATTGACTGCAGTTCATTTCAACTATTCGGTGTTTCGGAAGGATTTTCTCCGGTAAGTTGATGATATGTCATCATTTTGTTGCATTGTGAAGTGTTAGCTAACCGCTTCGTTGTCTCCTCACAGAACAAGGCTATCCCAGCATGCTTTGCGCGCCGGCTGTGGATTTTCAACAGGCAGAGAAAGGGGAGAGCTATGAAGTTTTAAACGTAAGTTTGTTAAAAACTAGCCGTAGAAACCTAAAAAGCTTAAAGCGGTTCAGTTTATAGACATTTTTCGTTTGTATATTTGTTCTTTAAATTACATTTTAGGCAGAAATCAGCCAGAACGAGTTTGTATCGCGGGTCCCAGTTATTCCTGAGTGTGTGTGTGTGTGTGTGTGTGTGTGTGTGTGTGTGTGTGTGTGTGTGTGTGTGTGTGTGTGTGTGTGTGTGTGTGTGTGTGTGTGTGTGTGTGTGTGTGTGTGTGTGTGTGTGTGTGTGTGTGGCGAATTAAACTTGTCATTTGTTTTAAGGACAACGGAGCAAAGAAGCGTTTTTATTAAGCTTAGAGGTGAAGAGTGAAGCTGTTTACACACAACCACAGAAGTTCTTCTGTGAAAAGTAGTTTTACATTCGGGGATTTACACAGCTGACACGTTTTAATGAAGTAAAAAGTTTGTGTGAAGAATATAATTTTTATCTTCTCGTGTGGATAAATGTAAAAATGTGTTTACTGCCTTTTTGTCACCTGTGGTCTCTGATTTTCTCTGTAGGACTGCAGGTGTCCAGGGTCAGAAGAGGCTTTACCTGTCCTGGGAGAGAGGCCTACTGTCATCATGTTGATGTTATTTAGCTGTTTGGTATTTGAACACATTTTTGAACATATTTGAACACACTTTTCCAGCTGAATATTGTCCCAATCCTAGTTCCATACTCCCTCAGTATGCTACTTACAGATTGCAGCTGATTCAGAATGTACTCCTGTTTTAAGATCTCTGCACTGGTTACCACTTGAAAAAAGAATTGAATTTAAAATTCTACTGCTTGTATATAAAGCTCTCAATGGCCTTGCACCACAATATATTACTGGCATGCTGGTACCTTATAGACCAGTCAGACCACTCCGGTCTGCAGATCATGGTAATCTTGTTATACCACGTACACCTTCTAAGTCAGGGGAGGCTGCTTTTAGTGTATATGCACCTAAGATCTGGACTACTTTGCCTTTAGAGAAGAGGGAAGCAGCTACACCAAATATGTTTAAGATGAATTTAAAAACGTATTTATTTGAACAAACATATGGTTAGGTTGTATTATTTCTAATTTATATCCTCCTTTTATAGATATAGTTTTATTCATAGATAAGGTCGTGCATGGTGTGTGTGTGTGTGTGTGTGTGTGTGTGTGTGTGTGTGTGTGTGTGTGTGTGTGTGTGTGTGTGTGTGTGTGTGTGTGTGTGTGTGTGTGTGTGTGTGTGTGTGTGTGTGTGTGTGTGTGTGTGTGTGTGTGAAAGCATTGTTTCAGCTTTATGTGTATATTTTATGTATGTATACACCATTTGCTGTTAAAGTGTGTACATATTTTATAATTGATTGCTTAATTTAGTGTCTTTTAATGTTAAGCACATTGAGTTGTTACCATGTAGGAAATGCGCTCTATAAATAAAGCCATTCATTAATTCATTAAAACTGTAAGGCAGAGAGGAAAACGTTATCTCCAGCCTGCTCCAAAACAGTAATTGTTATCTGAATCCGACTCCCTTTTCAGCCTTGGCTGAAGAAAACAATACTCCCTGTGGAATTTATACAGACACTCACTCTCAGCCCCCACCTAACCTATTCCTGATGTGGAACTGTGGATCTGCTGGAAGGCCACAGAGCCACAAAGAACTCACTTTGTTATCCCTTGGCCTCCAATCAATTCAATTCAATTGAATTCAAAAATACTTTATTAATCCCAGAGGGAAATTGATTGCTGTAGTAGCTCAGAATAATAATAATAATCAAGTCATCAAAGAGTTATTGTATATTACAATGGCTGTTGGCAGGAAAGATCTCCAGTAGCGGTCAGTGTTGCAGAGAAACTGAAGAAGCCTCTGACTGAAGACACTCTTCCGTGGTCGGACAGTCTTGAAAATCACTATCATCAGCAGTTCACTGCTCAATGTTCAACTGGCATTCCAGTTTTAATCCAATGTGGGTTTAGTAGTTCATTTTACCTGTTTCACTGCTTTGGTTTTGGTATGCTTGTTTACTCCGTTTTAGTAATTCCCTGAAACTAAGTTTTTTGGCAGTTTACTGTAAACTCTAGGTTAGCCCTCTTACCTACTTAAGGCACTGAAAGTCTGTTAGTTTTCAACCGTGTTTTTCTGTAGATCATTGTGCCAGTTTTTACTGCCTCATAGTTATAGTCACAAAACACTCATTAATTCCTGATAGTTATAGTCACAAAACACTCATTAATTCCTGGTTGGCCTTCATAAGTTCCGTTAGAGTTTTACTTTTAGTCATCGATGTTTCCTGTATTCATTGTACCAGTTTCACTGCTGTAGTTTTGGTCTGCTTCTATACTTTTAGTAATTCCCTGCAACCCAAAGGTTTTTTTGTAGGTCATTGTATTTCCTGGTTAGCCTTCTTATCTACTTAAAGAGTTAAAATTCAGTTGGTTTTCAGCAATGTTTTTCTGTAGCTCATTGCACCAGTTTTTACTGCCTTAGTTTTGGTTTCCTGACAACTTCAGCTTAATCTTTGTTTTCACTTAGTAATTCCTGGCTGACCATGTTCAGTTCTTTTTTCAGTGTTTTATTGATATGATGAAAGTGTTCAAGTTTTAGTATGTGTATTTCCATTGTTCCGTTTTGTGTTTGTTTTGTCTGTTCTTACTGCTGTAAAGAACATTGAATTGCCTTTGTGTAGGAAATATACAATATAAACAAAGATGGCTTGTCTTGTCTTATTGATTAAACGACTCAATTACTCCTTTAAAAAGAGTCATTCGAGGTGATTAAGTCACCTGATTGGGATGCATTCAAATCCCCTCCCACTGGAGGTTTCCCAGGCATGTTTCGTTAAGAAGGGACACCAGGGCAGATTCAAAATCTGCTGAATTTCTTAATTTCGCTTCTGAATAAACCGGATGGATGGATGGATGGATGGATGGATGGATGGATGGATGGATGGATGGATGGATGGATGGATGGATGGTTGGATGGATGGATGGATGGATGGATGGATGGATGGGCGAGCAAAGTTTCTTACCGACAACTCATCAGTGCTTTAAAATAAAGTTTGATCACAGGTGAGATAAAGTTTTTCTTATCTTCAAAATACATCGTATTTCAAATGTATATTTTATTTTCGTGAATCATCATATGTTATTTTTGTATTTATTAATTTTTACAAAAAACCCTTATTTTTTATTAAATACTTGTAGTTTATTTAATGTACTTAGTCATCTGTGTAGAGAATATAATGCGCTTCCTCATCACTTTCAAAGGTCAGTTTGTAATAACAGCACTGCCATTTAGCTTTGACACAAGCAACAAAGAATCAAATGCCATCCTGCTGCACAAAGCAAAAGGAAATGAGAGAAGGGGAGAGATTGTTCATGCAACATCCATTTCCTCATGTCATTATAAAACCAGATGTCCTATTCAACAAAGATGAAGAGATCCTAAGAATAAACTCAAGGTTCTCAGTGCTTCGTAAAGAATGCTAAACTGTCAGAAAAGCTGAAGTTGAAATTTGAAATTATACAGCATAACTTACATCACATGGAGGCCAAAGCTTTATTTTTGCAGCTAAAACCTGATTTATCTTTAGCAAAATCTATGGATCAGTGGACTCCAGGTTTGTTTGTTTGTTTGTTTGTTTGTTTGTTTGTTTGTTTGTTTGTTTGTTTGCCTTCTATGCACAAGATGTTAAAATGCATTCGTATGCAGTGTAATCAATAACATGTTCAGATGTTAAAGTCTGAGGTGTTTTTCTGGACCATTATTGGCCATATCGCTTGAAATGCTCTTCACATACTGATGGCAACCAATAAATTAAATGTTTTGTTCAAAAAATGAATAATTTTTGTTGCTTTTAAAATGCACAATCCTGCAAAAATTTCATAAAATCCAGCGCTGGCCCCCTATCTATGGCTGGCTCAAAACCCATCTATCAACCTGCTCCTCTGAACATTTGTCACCCAGCTGCATTCCCTCTGAGTGCAGAAATGCTCGTTCTCGGTGTGGCAGCCGAGTAGGAAGAGGAGCCAACTGAGCTGCCTTGTGTTACGGATGCAGAGTCCTGTTCAGTTAGTAAGTCTTACTTAAGGAGTTGTTTTACATGTTCTGTTAAGAATCTGGTTCTGTTCTTGTAGGGAAACGTTTAAGTGACCGAGTAATTCTCTGGAAAACTTTAACCTTTGAGCGACGTGATAATGTGTGTGTGTGTGTGTGTGTGTGTGTGTGTGTGTGTGTGTGTGTGTGTGTGTGTGTGTGTGTGTGTGTGTGTGTGTGTGTGTGTGTGTGTGTGTGTGTGTGTGTGTGTGTGTGTGTGTGTGTGTGCGCGTGTGTGTGTGTGTGTGTGTGTGTGTGTGTGTGTGTGTGTGTGTGTGTGTTTGCATGCATCACCACCAGCAAGTTTGGTTCATGTTGTGAAGACTCTGGCCTCTTTTATAAGACAGACCATGACGTCATTACAGAGTGATAAATCCGAATTTGCGGGTCTCGTAAATGCGGCGAGGAGCAAAGGGGAAAGGTGATAAAACTCGACTCTGATGCGCTTAGCCTCGTAGTAATATTACCACATGAGCCCCTTGCCTCTGACAGCTAAACGCGTCAGCCGCACTAATCCCTTTGGAGCGACTGTAGGAGGCCCCCCCCCGCAAAAGAGAGTGGTCGTGTTAGTGACGTATACTGTGCGCCGAGTGCCGGCCGGAAGGGATATAAACACAGATAAACATGGCCTCTCACTAGTATCTTTCAACCACCTACAACATGGCAAACTGGACGGACGCGGAGACCATGGAGCTTTTGGCCGTGCGAGCGGACGAACAGATTAGTCGCCTTTTTATGGGGACGGTGAGAGACAGCCAGCTGTTCGACAGAGTGGTGAAAACACTGGCTGAGCGGGGCGTCAAGCGGGACAAAAAGCAGGTCACATCAAAGCTAAAGGTCCTGAAAAGAAATTTCATCAGCCTGACGTGTCTTCCGTCTGACGCTGAATGCGTGACCCTGTACGTCACATGTGGGGGTGGCTGCCCAGTTACCTCCCTTTATCTTGTCTTGGTTTGAGAGGTGCCTGATGGCAGTTTATTCTAGCTTCAGCTTTGCTAGTATAAATGTCAAAATCCTCCCCCAGGGAGCAGCGGCAAATCCCGTTTTGCAAACGCTATGGTCCTGTAAAATCAGCTTTTGTTGGTGGTAGGGTTTCCCCAGATTGTCTCTGGCACTGAGCTCTTGTAAGAATGACATCCTGTGGTCAAATTTAGTTACTGCAATCTATTTTTCTAAACAAAAGGTCACTCTCTCACTCCCGTTCCATGAGGCTGTTGCCAGTTACGGAGCACCAGATGATGATAAGTGAAGATGAGTCACACAGTAAGTTGACAAGTAGATTGTTATATTTGATGTTAGCACTCTTGGGTGGGAGCGTTTACTCCACTTATCATTTCTCTGGCATTAGAGGAAGTTTGGTTGTTTACTGTCCTGCTGTTAGCTTGCTGTTATAGTTCTGAATGACTCATTAAAGGAAGTAAAACACAACAATTGACTTATTATTCACTTCTCACATAATTTCACTGTAAAATCTAGTTGTTGGCCATTGAAAAAGTAGTTTGAGATATTTTAAGAGCAGACTGTTTGCTTCTGATAGCAATGTTAGCTCAACGTTAGCCTCTAGCCTACTTCACCCAATACTAGAGTAAAAAAAAAAGATGCTGTGACTTCTTAGGGGTACAAGAAATAACTTTTAGGTCACTCCAGTTTACTGGCCTTGGTTCTAGTCTTCAGACTCAGCAACCTCGTGGGCATCCAGACTGCAAACAGTAACTATGTCCCACTTTAGTTTCTTTGATAGGAGAAAAAGTGACAACCACCAACGACGCTGAGAGGGAAATCTCTTTCAAAGTAACCTTCCTTCCTCATGACTAAGACATTACACTGT